TGACACACCCAACACTCGGGGAAGTGCTTAGTGGGGATTTGGGGCTTGTAGGGTTAAAAAGTGGCCTTTTCCAACGTTTTCAACACCTGTGAGGGCGCAGTCACTGCCCTAAAGGCAGAGTAACCTACTGGGAAAAAAAGGGAGAGAATAAGGTTGAAGAAAGTGAGGGAATAAGGAAATCCAGGTCTGCACCCAGCAAAGCAGAGGGATCCTGGAGAGGAGCAGCTTCCAGAGCCTGAGCCAGGACTCTCTGAGCCACCAAGCCTCAACTACAGCTATTTTATTTTATTTTATTTTTTTTTACTCCTCTGCTGCAGAAATTAATTTTGATCTATGAACTTTAATTAAGAAGAAAGGAACATTTCTTTTTGATTAAATGTTTGCTGGCAGTACCTTTTGTATAATGAAATGAGCCCCAGTCATCTCTGAGCACTCAGAATCTTTAACAGGTCAGCTGCTTCCTGAAATGCCCTTTTTTTTTTTTTTTTTTCCACCAGGACTGATTTTAGTTTAGAAGTAATATTTAGTTTAATTTGAATTCAATATTTAACTTCCTCTTCACTTGTAGCTCTTGACATTTAAGAAAGTCACCTTTCCTCTCTACATTAATTTGTTTTTTTCTCTTCAGTAGTAGAATGACTACAAATTATTTGTATTTATGCCCTTTCTTATGAGTTTCCCTTCAAAATTGCATCTCCAGGACTGAGGACTTGGTGGGACTGTTGGGAGATGGTGAAGTGTGGGGCTGAGACAGCAGATTTCGAACCTGTTCATGTTCTTTCTCATGAGCAAAGCTTGTATTTTGAGTAGCAGAGTTCAAGTGAAGATAGCACCAATTATTTGCACCTCTAACTTCAAAGGAATTTAGAGAATTTAGGGTGAGATGTATCTTGTCTGAGTATGGATATTTAACAGAGAATTCTCCAGTCCAAGCAAGGAGTCCGGACTTGCTTTATACTCAGTGATGGGAAATAAATAAACACCTCAGGCTGCAGTTCCTCACAGCTCTTCAGAGGTGTTGGACGGGTCTGTTCCTCCCACTGCCTGGCTCTGAGCTCTCTGCAGGTGGGGGCAATAAATGTTCCCCCAGGGAATGCAGGTGCCATCCTTACCCAGGAGCACTGCAGGGAGCCGTGGAAACACTCAGGGGACATTTGGTAACTGTGAAATGGGGAGAAAATCTGTCAGAGCAAAACAAAGCACTGCTATAATCCCTCCCTCTACAATAAAAGGGTGCAGGAATCCCCTTTGGAAAGACAAGCTCATGCAATTTTGCTGCTCTGCTTTGAAGATCAGTTTCTCCTGGGCAGGGAATTTCTCCCCAGTTGTCGTTGGTGTGTAATGTTGGGCAAAGCTCAGTTTAAAGTAGACGGTTTGTGCTTCCCACCAAGGCCAGAAGGAGAAGGCTTTGAAAAGGACCTTAATGCCCATCCAGTGCCACCCCCTGCCATGGGCAGGGACACCTCCCACTAGCCCAGGTTGCTCCAAGCCCCGTCCAACCTGGCCTTGGACACTTCCAGGGATCCAGGGGCAGCCACAGCTTCTCTGGGCAACCTGTGCCAGGGCCTGCCCACCCTCACAGCCAACAAGTCCTTCCCAATATCCCACCCATCCCTGCCCTCTGGCAGTGGGGAGCCATTCCCTGTGTCCTGTCCCTCCATGCCTTGTCCCCAGTCCCTCTCCAGCTCTCCTGGAGCCCCTTTAGGCCCTGCCAGGGGCTCTCAGGTCTCCCTGGAGCCTTCTCTTCTCCAGGTGAACCCCCCCAGCTGTCCCAGCCTGTTCTTGCTCACAGGACTATGACTACAGTTACAATATATAGATTATAATGTATGTGGTAGTTTTCTGAGTTTGCTCCTGACTCCAGCAATCAAGTCTCTGTAACACATTCCTGTCTCTGACCTCAGTGATCTGCTCCTTGGCTGGTTGGTTGACACGTGCATAAACATCCCCCTCATTCCTGGCAGGGCGCAATCCTGGTTGTTCACAGCACAGGACGTTGCTCACTGTAAATCCTGACTCCCTAAGTGTGTTCCTTCACTGATGTCCACAGGTTTCCTTTTTAATGTCCCTTGGAATGTCCGTGGAAGCAGAACTAAGTTGTCCCTAAGATATTTATTCTCACTCCCTGCTGTCACAGAGCTTTGCGTGCTTACCTGTCATTTCCAGTCTGCCATCTGTCCCTGCAGACTCACCAGGGGTGTTTGTGTGTGGGGCAGGTGTCAGTTCTCCACGTTTGAGCAGTGTCAGGAGTGGCTGAAACGGCTCAACAATGCCATCCGCCCCCCGGCCAAGATCGAGGACCTGTTCTCCTTCGCCTACCACGCCTGGTGCATGGAGGTCTACGCCAGTGAGAAGGAGCAGCACGGGGACCTGTGCCGGCCAGGTATGAGGGAACAGCCCAGGGACCACCCCAGGGCAGCTCCTTGACAGCTCCTGGAGTTATTGTGGTGGGTGGGATTCCACAGAATCACAGGATGTGCTGTGCTGATCCCCACAAGGACCATCCAGTCCAACCCCTGGCCCTGCACAGCCCCATCCCCAAGAGTCACCCCCTGTGCCCCAGAGGATCATCCAAACCCTCCTGCAGCTCTGGCAGCCTTGGGGCTGTGCCCACTGCCCTGGGGAGCCTGTTCAGTGCCAACCACCCTCTGGGGGAAGAACCTTTCCCTGAGATCCACCCTGAGCCTGCCCTGAC